CTTCTGTGAAAGGGTTAGTAGGTGAGAGAGGGCGGTAGGGTGGGGGGTGTGTGGGATGTGTGTGTGTGTGTGTGTCCGCCTGTGTGTTCTCCGCTTCGGTGAAAAGCGGAGGAGCTATTGTTTTTACATATTTCTTTCTCTAACGTCTTTTGCCGTGATATTCTTAAAACCAAGTATATATTTTTTTTTCCTTTCTTCTTCTAAATTATCACGCAAGATGCGTAATTGATTCAGAGACATAGAGCCTCCATCGGAAAAGCCAAATGAACTGCACCATGTAGGCAAGCACTCCATAGCTTTAGATTCGAACCGTTTTTCCATTGCCATTGTAACGGGGGACGTCAACATTCCCCTCGGTGTGGCATCTCTAGATTGATTTTTCCCCATTTTCTCGTACAGAACAATGGACCTAACCCGTTTAGTCTCTCCCTGCTCTTACTCACTTTGGAGCGATCCGTTCCCCCCCCGTGGGTTCTATATACCCAACGAGCGCGCGTTCTTGAAACGGAGCGGGTCTGGCTGAAGGCACTAGAGATATCTTCAGGGTCGCTTACTGAGCGATACTAACACGCAGCCGCTAGCTTCAATCTAGAACAAAATACCCCAAAAAATCCCGCACACAGTCTATGCTGTGGCAATGAATGAAATACCCCAAAAATACGTAAATAAATCAAAACCCCGTGTACACTTAAGTGCTGCCCTGGGCTTGTTACGCAAATGAAAAGACAAAACTCACCAAATCAGGTTCTTTTTGGTCTTGTGTGGCCAAAGATTCCTTTCATGCGCCGGACGAGTGCGCCCTCCCTTTGTCTCCAAATAGAGCAGAGGCTGGTGTTGTTCCAGGTCGGCCAAACGCAGCCGCTCGTCCTCGCCGAAAAGATCCAGGCCAAGACATGTCAGCAACGCCAAATTGTCGTAGAATTACATACCCCAATGAAGGAGAAAGCTCAAAAGGTATTTGTCTTAATCAGGAGCGTAAGTTTATTGTACACACGTGCGGAGAGCTCACATACACAAAGCAGCGTACATAAGCTCTGGCGCGGCCAGACACAGGTTCCTGTTTACATAGACAACACATGAAAGACAGTCACGCCCACAAAAGATGGGAGGGGGTCACAGTTTGAGACGGGCATCCGGGGGCGAGGCGCCATTCCCGGGGAGAGACAATCAGACCGTGCCATGGAGATGCAAACAGAGAGACAATAGACATGCAGGATGTAGAGATGCAGACATACGAACCGATACAGATGCAAGATGCAAAAGGGACAAGGGTGAGACAGTAATTTGCGTCATTGTCTGTCGGTGCGGGGGGGAGCCCGGCTCCTTCCTGCAGGTTAATTGAATAGAGCAGCAGGGGGGGTGAGTTGGCGTCCCCGAGGCTAGGCAGCTTGCCATCACAACTTATGAAAAGTATGCGGCTCGAAATGGCTGTTATTTCCAAGAACAGGGAATATTTTAAACTACGCGGTTAACCGGTTTCAACCGGTTAATGAGGCTCGGTGGTCGGTCATGGAAATAGTTTTTTACATCCCTAAGCCCTAAATCACAACAGTAATAATAATAATAATAATAATAATAAATTTTATTTATAATGCACTTTACATTTCAGGGAAACCTCAGTAGTCGTCACAGAGGACTTTACAAAGTTGTCGATTCGCCAACCGATGGACCCTCCTATGGACCAATGTCCATAAATGTTATTGTACTGGATTATCACCTCTGTCCGGAGGAACAACCCAGTGGGAAAGAGTGAGAAACTCACTCTCATGCATTCTCTCTCCTCGAACATTGTGGACAATGTTGGACAATAGAGGATTACTATACCTCAGATTCAGATTCAGATTCATTTTATTAGCCATGTGCAGTATAAAAACTACATTGGAATACATTTGCAAAAAAAGGTACTCTGTGTGCACCGACAGAATAAAAAGCACGATACAATGTAATATAAAATACACATACACTGAATATAAAAGAATAAAAAAACAGCTGACACTGTGGCACCGATCAACAAAACGATACAAGGGATAAAAGCAGGAATTAAAGTGCTCTGTTTAGGCACCTAACAGCCTGTGGAAAGAAGCTGTTAGCATAGCAAGATGTCTTGCATCTCAGCGGCCGATATCTTCTGCCAGAGGGAAGAAGCTGGAACATGGCTTTCCCAGGGTGGCCAGAAGAGTCATTGATGATTTTAAGAGCTTTGTTTAAAAGTCTGGATTTATAAAGAACCTCCAGAACAGGAAGCTCACAGCCCACGGTCCTCTTCGCAGAGCGGAGCACCTTGTTTAAAGCTCTCTTTTCTTTATCTGTGATGTTTCCAAACCACACAGACACAGAACCAACAAGTAAACTCTCAATGGTGCAGCGATAAAAGTTAAGCAGAATCTTAGAGTTAGTGGTAAATTCTCTAAGTTTCCGCAAAAAGAAGAGCCACTGTCGTGCTTTCTTAACAACCCGGTTAGTATTTTTGTCCCATTTCAGGTCGTTAGACAGAGTTAACCCAGGAACTTGCACTCCTCTACGATCTGCACCTGGGAGTTGTCAATAACTACAGGAGTGTGAGAACTGCTACGACTGAAGTCAAAGACAAGTTCACATGTTTTTGCAGTGTTCAGCTGGAGATTGTTTACTTTACTCCACTGAAAAACATGTTCGATCTCTGCTCTGTAAGAGGAATCATCATTGTCACTGATGAGACCGATGATGGTGGTGTCATCAGCATATTTGATGATCAAGTTAGAGTCAGAGGAGGACACACAATCGTGAGTGTACAAAGTAAAGAGCAGAGGACTCACAATACATATATACAAGGCATTGTTTGACTTTTGACTTGTACTAGGATATTTATTCTGATTAGAATCAATTATAGTAATTCAATTATTGATTATTTTATTTCGAACTCTGTGGAACAGGTAACTTCCAAAAGGAGTTAACAAATCAAAAGTGATTCTATCTCAGATTCACTGGTACTTTGAAAGATTCTTGTTATTCGAAATGTCATTCATGAGGGGAAAATAACTTGTGTTATGTCACTGGAGGTATGAGAGGGAGGTCAAAATTCATATCAAGTCATATTAATATTAAACATACTGTCCATGGTTTTAATGTGTAAAATTATTCTTCAATATTCACTGTTTCTACCTGTTTAGCATGTTTATAGCTCTTTTATTCATGTCTATTTGTTCTGCAACCATTTCTCCTCTTATCTTAAATTATTCTCATGTTGAAAGAATTCACAATTGAAAACCATGAATGGTGTACTCACAGTCTTGTAATGGGGAGCGCCCTCCTTTAAATCATAATGTCAAATGCAATTGTGCACTAATAGTTTGAATATCTTAATTTTGTCAATAACTCAAGTGAAACTGTCTGTCCTTAATTCAAAAGACAAACTAAAAAGGACTTGTGTTGACAAGCTCTAATTAAAATTGAAAGTGCTTGTCTGTCACACATTCATATCCACATTCAAGTGCATGTGGCAGCTGTTTGAAAGAAATATTACAAACATAACCAACAACATTCTCAGATGGAGGCTTTTTGTAATTATTTCCCATTTATTTCCCCGTTTTGTTGCGTGTTCGCTAGTTTTTACGGTTTAACATAGGCTCTAGAATCTGATTGGTCGACCAGTCAGCACGTGACCCGGAAATGCTGCGACGTTCAAACCGATTTGTTTTTTTAAGCTTTAAAGCCGCCTTTAGTGCTGATTATTGAGTGGAAATGGAGGCATCCGTATTTTTAAATTTGGTCCTTTTTACGTGAACTAAAAAGAGCCCTTAAGAATTATGATGTATCTGAGACGCATTACAAACCACGAGTGAGGACGGCGGGGTGGGGAATCGGATCCTTCCCGCAGTGCAGTTTGTAGTTATCGCTTCTCGGCCTTTTGGCTAAGATCAAGTGTAGTATCTGTTCTTATCAGTTTAATATCTGATACGTCCCCTACCCGGGGACCATATATTAAATTGATTTTTGAAACTGGGAGATGGAATAGGGGCTTGCTCCGTCCACTCCACGCATCGACCTGGTATTGCAGTACCTCCAGGAACGGTGCACCCCCTCTCTCTGTGAAAAATAAATACATCTGTTTTGAGGAATATCAACTTATTCGGTGTGATTCGCTGTGCTTGTTTGTATTTACTTTATTGTACTTCTGTAACACTCAATTCCCCGCTTTTAAAACTAACTGTAATACGTTTATACATGATTAGGAATGAGCATCTGAACTTCAATATAAGATAGACTTTTTGCCATCTCTGTCGATCAATATACATCACTAATTGGACGACGAAAGATGTGTAAGCATCAAATTGTGTGCATTGAAATAGACATTCATACCATAGACTGTAAACATTAACCTATTCATACATACACCGAGTAAAATGAACGTTTTGGACGCTTAGACCTTCGTCTCCCTCTAGTGGATCCCTGGCAGTGATGGGACCACAGTTTTGCAAGTCATACACAATCCACGGTCAGAGATAAAACCAGTAATTTTATACTGGGCCAAAATTGAAATGAATCGTTGGGCCTAACCTATCCATGTGATTATCATATTATTCATGTATAAATCAACTGAATTGATTATTAGTGATTATCTGTGAGCACACAGAAATCAACATGTTTTCCAAATCTTGACACCTCCTCTGCAGACAAATGAGACTTCTTGGGAAACTATAAAGATGCATTTTTGACCATTTAAGTTAAACAATTAGATAGATAGAGAGGAACTAAAATTCAATGAATCACTATTAATTTCAATTGCATCTTTTGATTTAATTCATATATTATTTATCTATTTTTTTAACTTGCACATGTAAATTGTCACTTTAAGTTCATTATTAATGCATTTTTGGAGAAATGAATTTGTTTTCATACATAGATTGCTACTATGAACAATAAGGTTAAGCACAGTTCAGACACACATGAATGCAGGTATTATGTTTGTATGTTTTCGATCATAGTCAGGTAACAAGCGGTGTAACCCAGCCTTTCTCTAGGGCACGTGTTCGCGGCGCTGTTATGACATCTTCATTGTGGAGTCAGTCTGCGTGGCCTGGTTCTCTCTGGAGTTCTCTCTGCGATTCATTCAGGATCGCAGTAAACTGTCTTTCCTCCGACAGCCGCTCAACCTCATCGACACTGCATGAAAAGTGTGATTTTCGTCTCTTTTCGGCCCTGTATATTACTGTGAAACTTCTGGGATTCGGCAGTTTGTTGTCCCCTCCTCCCTCCTCCACAGGAGGCTTTAACATGTAAATGGCAATGCTGTGAGCTATACAAATGCTAATCAGGGTTGAGGGGGAGCACACCGTAGACCCGGATTTTGTAAATGCTCAAACACACACACACACACACACACACACACACACATATTTGATCATGATTGATTATAGCTTGTCATGTCAAAATCAATTAAATAAATCTAATAGGACAAAAGACATGTTGAAAGTGTAAGTGCTCATCTCATGTATGTACAGTACAGACCAAAAGTTTGGATTTTTTATTTTTATTCATGACATGAAAGATGTGTTCTATTCTCGGTTCAAATTATATATATAAAATTTGTCCACTCACCTTTGGCCCTCCGCGGGCGGTTATCCCTCTCTAAGCTCGGGTCCTCTACCAGAGGCCAGGGAGCTTGAGGGTTCTGCGCAGTATCTTTGCTGTTCCTAGCACTGCACATTTCTGGACCGAGATGTCCGAGGTTGTTCCAGGGATCCGCTGTAACCACTCATCTAGCTTCGGGGTCACTGCCCCGAGTGCACCGATCACCACGGGCACTACTGTCACCTTTACCCTCCAGGCCCTCTCCAGCTCCTCTCTGAGACCTTGGTATTTCTCAAGCTTTTCATGTTCTTTTTTCCGGATGTTACCATCGCTTGGAATTGCCACGTCCACCACCACGGCTGTCCTCTGCCCTTTGTCTACCACCACGATGTCAGGTTGGTTTGCCATTACCATTCGGTCGGTCTGTATCTGGAAGTCCCACAGGATCTTCGCACGCTCATTCTCCACCACCTTTGGAGGAGTTTCCCACTTAGACCTTGGGGTTTCCAGCCCATACTCTCCACAGATGTTTCTGTACACTATGCCAGCCACTTGGTTATGGCGTTCCATGTAGGCCTTCCCTGCCAGCATCTTGCACCCTGCAGTTATGTGTTGGATCGTCTCAGGTGCCTCTTTGCACAACCGACACCTTGGGTCTTGTCTGGTGTGGTATATCTGGGCCTCTATCGCTCTGGTGCTCATATATATAATATATATATATATATATATATATATATATATATACACTAGGGCTGTCAAACGATTCATTTTTTTTAGTTGATTAATCGCATAGTAATGGTGAGTTAACTCACGATTAATCGCATGTTTAACATTCTATTTCAAATCCACTCCAATTGAAGTTAAATGAGATTATCAAATATAATTACCAGTGTTGGGTAAGTTACTTTGAAAAAGTAATTAGTTATAGTTACTAGTTACTTCTACCAAAAAGTAATTGACTCACTAACTGAGTTACTCCACTATAAAAGTAACTAGTTAGCAGTAAAAGTAACTATTGCGTTACTTTTTCGTTTGTCGTGGTACCGAGCTTTAGCTGGCTGTAATTTAGGATAACTTCTAAGTAGATTAATTGTTGCAACAACCCCACCCTATTTTAGTATGATATGTTAGTTTAGGGAACTGTCCTGCAGGCAAACAGGTATAAGACAGGCCAAGGTGCCATTTAATTAAATTGCATTTATTTTTATCCATTGATCAAACAAACAGATTACAAAACTTGCAATTGAAAGAGACTATTTTAAAATAATTAGTTCCCAAAGACACACACGAGCAACACTCACGCCTGACAGTCAAGAACCAGGGAGAATACAGTGCGCAGATTGTGCCTGACAGACAAGAACCAGGGAAAATACAGTGCGCAGAGCGCTGAGTATGTGAACGGAGCAATCGCTTGCTGCTGTTATTATAATAGCTAGATCCATGCTTGCAGCCCGTGCAAAGCTTGCACTCACTCACAGCCGCTAACAACAACCAGAGCGGCCACGGAGGAGGCCATCTCACACGCAGCATTCTGAGTGATATTCTTATGGATAAATGGGCGGGTATTTAAAAAAAATAACGCGTTAATAAAAAATGTAATTAACGTGAGTCAAAACGATAATTTTGACAGGTGCATTGCGTAAGTTAAAAAATGCCTTAATGCAATATTTTGCATCTGTGGTCCATCAGCAGTTGCCTGGTGTGTAAACTGAGCATTAGCAGATTCACTGTGGTTGCTTCTGTGAGCGCATACAGTGATTGAGAAATCCCAGACTCGGGTCGCTTTCTCGCGCGCTGTTTAAGCGGAAGTGACGCAATGCGCGTGCCCGTTCACTGTTTTGGCTCCATATGTTCCCTCGCGGTCAGTGGATCTGTCCCGTCTCCGTATCACGCGTATTTGAAGATGGATCCAGCAGTTTCTCTAAGAGACCAGCTTCAGAATCACCGTCTGGAACTCCACGCCAAGCGAAGAGAAAAAAGATTGTCACTAGTGCTACGAAAAGAGCGAAGCGAGAGGCCGACCGGCGGAGAGCTCAGACCCGAGTCGCTCTCGGCCATGCGTTTGAGAAATGGAGAAGTCTCCGAAACGCTCTGGGGATAAAAAATGATCCTCATTTGGCGTTTATCTTGATTAGAAGGTAAGACGGTGACTCAGTTCTAAACGTCCTAGTGTCTTCGAATACGAAGAGATATAGCATTATTGTGTGTTAGCTTTTTGACTTAGCAACATGGACTGATTCCATTTGGTTCGGTTTTTTTCTGAACAGTAACAGATTGGCGAGACACATTCAGCATTTTTTTTGTTCTGTATGAAGAATGTCTAGAAATAATGACTGTTACGTCGATTAGTGCTTTTGAATGAACGTTAGCATGTGTTAGCTTAGTACAGCTGTGTACATTATTGGGCTGCTACTGTGCATGTAAACCATTATGAAACTTGCAGATGCAGTGATTATGTACCTCAGTACCTGTACTATATGTATCGTAGAATTGCAGACTATATTAGTAATATAATGTGGTTAGTCCAACTGTAATACAATGAGATGCATGTGTGTATAGGTAACGTGTATTTATTTACTTTATAGCTATGAAAAAATTATGGCATCAAGGAGTCCCAAGGCCTCAACTCCTAAAACCACTACTGCGACTGGTGATCTCCCGAGTTCAATCAGTCCCGTAGAATCTGACCGGTACTTTTTTTTCCCAGAAAAATGGGATTGGCATTATGTTTGATTCAAGCCTTATTGACAATATCACTGAAACAAACTGTATTTTTTAACAGGGATGACTTATCTGTGGCAGGGGTGCAGCCTTTTATAGAGGAGAAAGAGCTGGAGGTTTTGGAGAAAAGGTAGACATGCATTCACATTAAGATGTACATTGTATTCTCATTTCTAGGTCGTTTATTTATATGATTTATTGTTTTTTGTAGACATTCAGATCTTTGGTTAAACGAAAAACGGGCAAACAATCTAGAAGACAGTGTGTAAGTTACTTAACATGTTTAAAAATAAATATTTTGTTGATTGTTTTAAAATATGACCTGTTTACTTTCACAGGATTGAGTTTGATGAAGATTTGGCCTCAGATCCATTAGATTCGGAATATGTCCCACCTATATCTTTGAGGTTTTTTTTATTAAATGTTCTGTCCTGAAAATAATGGAAGTCCTTCCCTAATTGTTTTTTGAAAAAGCATAAATTGTTCTTGTTTTCAGTGCTGGTGTTGCAATTCAAAGAGAAGTTGACAATCTTCCCATCCTCGGCATAGAAGAAGCTGTGTTGGACATCTGTGACCCAGAAAATCCCGGAGAACCAGAGGACTTTGAGGATCAGTCTGAGCAGGACATATCAACATTCCCAAAGCCAATTCGTGTGGTTGCTGAAACTGACCTAGTGCACCAACAAGCATGCATAGCGTATACTATTAGCTTGCTGCAAATGGCTAATTTTCTGCAACTGCCCATCAACAAATGCCATTACAGCGATCCGGTTTCTGGTATTGAGTGTGACGGTCGGCCTCCATTTTCGGTTCAATCACGTTCTGGGGCACATCAATCATATTGGAATGGGTGAGTGAATGCTGAAATTAGAGATTGGTATTTAGGGTAGGCAAAATGTGTAGTTATACATTTAGTAAAAGTTATTTGTTTCTTTCTCCATAGTTCTGCTCTTATGGACACAAGTTATGGATCTGCCAACTTATTACTGAGTGGTAATAATTTTGCTAAGATTGCCCTCCTCTTCAAATTTATGAATATGAAGATGGTTTCAACGACAACTTATTACAAAATTCAACACTCCTACTGCGTACCTGAAATAAAGGCATTTTGGGAGCAGAAGAGGTTGTCTATTGTAACTCGATTAAAGTCAAAAGATGGCATTGTGGCCCTTGGTAAGTAATGTGTTAAAGGACAATCTTTGTCGTATTTGCAGTCACTATAAGTACTATATCTGTTACAGCTGACGGGAGAATGGACTCACCAGGTAAGTCTGAAGCCTTTCACTTCACAACATAGTTATTGTGTATTACTTTGTGTTTCACCATATTTGATTCAACAAGGTCATTCTGCAACGTTTTGCACATACACAACGATGGAACTTGACACTATGGACATTATCAGTGTTGTCAATGTTGATAAAAGGCAAGTTGGTGGAAAAAGTGTCTCTATGGAGAAAGCAGCGTTCATCAAAACATTTGATGATCTCACGAAAGAATTAAAAGTCAAAGAGATTGTGACTGCCCATGTGCAAATTGCAGCCCTCATGCGTAAGTATTTTTGTCTGTATTATTTGATGTGCTATATTTTGTGCTTACTGCATTTTTGAGCTTTATAATAGATCCAGAACGGGGAAGATATATGGATCATGGAGTTAACCATTCCCTGGATGTCTGGCATGCTGAAAAAAATCTAACTAAGAGGCTTCATGCTGTAAGTGATAGTTCATATCGTTTCTCATTCAATTATTTTTTATAGACATAACCAAAACTAATAACTTTGATAGGCGGGTGTCCTAGCAGGTCAAAAACAAATCCTTGGGTGGATCAAGGACATTGTTAACCATTTTTGGTATGCCTGTCAGCATGCAAGCAGCCGAGAAGAGTTCATGGTAAGTAAAGTAGAACTAGAATTTATCTTCTCATTTTCACTATACCTTTTCAGTTTCTTATGTTTGCTTATTAGGACATTTGGCGAGGTGTACTGCACCATGTTAGTGGCGTGCATGAGTGGGACCTGGGTAGATGCCTTCATGGTCCTTTGGGGGATGATGGCACTAAAGAGCCTGTACCAACTGGCTCTAAAGCACATGTGGCACTGTCACAGATCGTGCTGAACCGCAGATGGCTGAAGGATGTGGAGAAGTTCCTCACATTTCGGTAAGAGATCAGTTTTTGTTTTTTTGAATGATTTGTGTTTCTTCTATTTCCTACTTACTTTCCCTGTAGGACCACCTCACAGCTGGAATCATTCCAAAACCATATTCTGATGTATGCCGGAAAGCGGTTTGCTTTTTCATTTTTTGTTTATGAAGCAAGAACACTTCTCGCAGCTTTGGACTACAATCACCACAACAACCGTCCGGCACATGTGTACAGCAAAGGCCAAGTGTCGTAAGTATCATTCACTACTTCCTATTGACAAGTCATAAATATAGTTGTCTTCTAACGTGAAATTACTTATCTTGTAGCCTAAAGAGACTGTACAGCAAAAAAATCGAAACGGTATCGGGTACACACTGTCAAAGAAGAAAGGATTACAACTACATTCCTGACCTTCAGACACAAATCATTGGCAGACGACTTCAGTCTGCTGGTGGCCTCCCAACCAGACGGAGGATCATACCGGAGGACCCACGAGCACTTGGACCAGTATATACACAAACGGTTGTTGGTGTTATCATCACTCTCTTTACACAACCAAAACATATATGTGATTGCTCCGTGTGTGATAACTTTCTGTAAAGCATGGAACTGCTGCAGGAGCAGGGACGAGGCGCACAGAGCAGACTGCTTCGAAAGAACCGAAGGAAAAGCAGTTTGGGCTCATGGCAGAGCCTGATATACAGGAGACTGTGGAATATCTAACATATATCATTTGTTTTGCACTGTTCCTGTCTTTGTTTGAGCGCTAAGACTTTCACTTTTATTACTGTACTTTTTCATCTCATTTGTCACTGTTGTCTTTCTGTTCATTTTTTTTTTTTTTTTTTTTAAGTCCATTGCTTAATAATGTTATTGAGTGAATCTAGACCTCCTTTAAACACATTTGAGCAAAAATCATGTGATATTGTTTTATATATATTGATTATTCTTTTTTTGCTTACAGCGTGTTGCAGTCCGACAACAAGAAATAGTCAATTCTGCCCCACCTGTGGAAAATGTCAAAGCGCGCTGGCCAGCACTTCATACAGAGAGACAGGTGTGTACACATTTTTTACATCTATGCATTTAACTTGAAGTGTTTTATGTTGTTTTTTTTTTGGTCCTGGCAGAATTTAACCAGATCACCAGCTCCAAACTGGGCAATGATTTCGTTGAAGCATTGGATTGCCTAACGACACAGTTCATCAAGCTCTTTAAGGCCAAAAGGGGGTCTGCTGGCGCTAAGCTTTCCAAGATTGTCCGGCACCTCGATTCCTGTGTAAGTTCATAAAGCAATAACAAAAAGAAATGACATATGATTGTGTTTGGTGTTGAAATGCACATATGTACAGCAGAGGAGATGGGGAAAGGAGAAAGGTACACATCAAAAGAGGTACTGCTGCATTTTGTATCCTAAGATTTTTGGTACAATTGTAGATTGTCATTTTACATTTTTCACGTGTTTGTAGATGGTGGAACTGCAGGAAAACCCTGGTGACCGAGAGATCCTTAAAGATTATAATTCTGTGAGATCACTAAGTCACCGCTCTCGAAGACAACTTGTCGACCTTCTCGTCAGTGACATGAGTGAAACACATGGGTATGTTGTATCCCTCAGTTAATACTCAAAAGTTCCTTCTTACAAGTGGAAGGATATTTACTCAAAATAAAATGAAAATCACTTGAAAGACCTTTCACAATAATCACATAACAATTCAGTTTCTCTCAGCATGTTATTGATTCCCCATTGTAAGATAAATAGTACTGATCTCTTTTTATAAATGACCTAGGTAGATGTTCTCCTGTAGATTATCTCTTGGTTAGGTCCCTGTGAAAATATGTACTTGTAGATACTATTAATTTAGCCTTTTTATGTAACCATGAAGTCCTTTGACCATGAGTGTTTTTTTCTCCTTAGACAAATGCCTTCCCGAAAACAAAAAAAGCTATGCTCTTAGAATTATCACACTTTTTTCATTGAAGGATCCATTTTCTCAAAAAGGTTATGTAAGTATTGTTAATGTATCCATGGAAATTGAATTTGGTTTACCTACACGTTTTGTGTCGGTAATGGATATGTATAGATAACAATTATAACTGTACACTTTGTTTTCAGACTAATCTCGCCTCGTAATGAGACGGTGACCTCCTATTTGCTTAACACAATATCTGCAATACAATGTGAACAATAAGTCCACATTTCCACGATGTTGATAAAGACGACTTGTGTGTAAGTGTTTTACTGTTTCTCCCTTTAACCTGGTTTTAAACATTGTCAGAGAGGAGCTTTAGCTGTGCTACAACTGAGGTATTTTATATTTATCTTTGTTAATGTACTGTGATTATTTATTTTAATGCTTTCTTATTTTGCTCAGCACTTCGAGTTGCATTGTGTATGAATTGTGCTAGACAAATAAACTTGCCTTGCCATCGTACTTCCTGGTTCTGGTCAGGACTTGAGCTGCTGCATTTTGAATGTACTGCAGCTGTTGTGGCACAGTAGTCTAACCTACTGGAGACTAATGCATGGATAAGAATCTCCAGGTCTGCTTTAGACACTATGTTTAGATGGGGAAAAAGGATTTGATTTGGCTAATAATATTTACTGATTCTTTCAGCCGCTGGAATCGAGACCGAGTGTGCTAGAAAGTGACAAAGTGGAACTCTGGAAGTCCGCCACGGTAGACCTAATGTCCAATGAAGAAGAAGGCGTTGTGGACGGTGTCTCTGGATGGATTGTGCGGTCGCCGTCTTTTCGAAAGCCGGAGTTTTCTGAACTCTGTCAAGCTGCAGTACCGGTTAGAGGCGGTGCGGAAGTACAGAGCCACGCACATTAAGCGTCTATCTAGAACCCTGCCAAATTACAACCCCGAGGAGGCTATTTGGACAGTTCAGAGTTGTAATTTTTTAATTACCTATGTGTGAGCATAAAGCTGTGTGTGTGTGTGTGTTTTTAATAAAGCTTTCTTTGTATGAACATATTCCTGGAAAATTTTCATTTCTTCTATAAATAATACGAATATTTATATAAATATTATTACATTAATTATGAGGCAGGGTGACCAATAGTGACAGATCTGCCAGCCAATCACGAGAGATTATACTTATTTGAAAGTAGTGATTTCATCCAATGGGGGGAGTAAGCTACCAATGGGGAGTAATCCCACGTGGGCTGGCCACGTGTGATTTTTCAGCCAATCACGAGTTTGAAAGTAGTGGTATTCACCAATGCTGAATAGCAGCCTGGCCAGCCGCTGCATTCATATGCTAATTAGGGCCATTAGCGCTCGGCGGCCGCAGTGTTTCGCTGCATTCATATGCAAAGTAGGGACATTAGCATGGTACGGATACGGCAGTTTGGAGGACAGGGCACCCTAACTGCGCCTTCTGAAAACTGCCTGAGATACCCGAAAAAGAGCGTGATTTCCTGCAGTTTAGGGTGACGAAAATCTAACTTTTCATGCAGTGCGACCTGGTGGCCATCCTGCCCTACTACGTCTCACTGCTCGTGGACACGTCACAGGTACAGATTCAATGCATCAAGGGCTTGGAACCAGAGGAGCGTAAGTGGCATTTTGAGAGAAAATGTAAAAGACTATAGAGGATGACGATTCTCTGGAAAGTTCGGCTGCACCCATGCTTGAGAAAATTAATGATTCCGCTATTATTTTTTGCCTGTACAGATATAATTAATAGTTACTTAATGTAACTTAAGTTCTACGAATAGGTGCGTAGTCCCTTAGGACTTCGCTAGTGGGATATCACTCGTGACCCCCAGGTCACACGCCAGAGAGATCAAAATAATTTGCTCCAATCACCAGCCACCTTCCTCTATAAATGCCCCTGCACAAGGCCGCACCCCCTCTTGAACTCTGCCAAGCCGGGCTGGCCTGATGGGCTCGTAGCTAAGGGACTACGCACCTATTCGTAGAACTTAAGTTACATTAAGTAACTATTAATTCTACGTCATGGTGCTACGTCCCTTAGGACTTCGCTAGTGGGACACAACGCGGAGGCCGTAGGAAAATGTACTCCCAGCAGGCCAGCGAAGGGTGATTGGAGCTCCGCCCGAGCAAGACTCTCACAACGTGAGAGGACTCAGGGCAGAAGAAACAAGCGTGTTACGGGCAGTGTTGGGCACGTTACTTTGAAAAAGTAATTAGTTATAGTTACTAGTTACTTCTCCCAAAAAGTAACTGAGTTACTAACGGAGTTACTCCACTATAAAAGTAACTAGTTACCAGTAAAAGTAACTATTGCGTTACTTTTTCGTTTTGTTCTGGAACATAATGTGCACTCGACGTGTGCATTTTTACCTTTAACCTCAATGAGTCTGAAATATTGCCAATATTTCCATCTAGAAAAGTCTGTTTTGCTGCTGAAGTCCTGTTCACTCTTCATCTCTCTCTCACCCGCCATTGTGAATGTGGAAACACCGGTGAAGCACCGACTTCAGCCCAATCAGATGAACATATATATCATATAACAGCTAAATCAAGTGGACAATTTGTTTGCCTACAGCAAAATATGTTTCATGGCCGCATTGTTTGTTCATACAAAACGCAAAACTATGAGTTATGGGTCTTACCTTATAAATGACCTGCACAGACCACTTCAGTTCAGACCAGTTCTGTGTTTAAGTCCAGATAATAGTTTGAGCGTAGATATGTAATCCTCCATTTGGAAATGAGTTTTAAAAAGTAAAACAAAACGCGTGTGTCCTCCGTAAACTACTCTGTTTTGCTAGGTGCAGCCGGGTGCATCCAATTTCTAAAATCAACCGTCTTACACTTCACCTCTCTTTCTTATCATTCCTATAGTAATTGAAAAATTACCGTTAGTGCATTTTAAATTATCTTAAAATGTGTTATATGTATGTTAGCCAAACTTGTTGCAGCTCTTAGCAGATAAACCAGGAAGAGAAAGTAGCTTTCTGATGGAATTGTATGCAGCCGACTTCTGCGCTCACATGCGCTCCTCTGTGGCTGACCTCACGGTGATACAAGCTGTGGTTGAGCGCGACTAAGACCCATATTTGTTTCAAAAACACAATTTATGACCATCCTCTCAACTGTAGACATGTGGATTGTAAAGGAAATATGTTTTACATCAGCCAATAATTGCTGAGAGGTTTTCTCATCCTCCCTTCTCTCATGACAACACGCGCACGAGTCCTATCATGAAGTAAAAAGAGAAGTTGCGTCTTTAGTAACGCGCAGTAACGGGATGTCGGAAATGATAACGGCGTTATAGTTACAGTCAAAGTAATTAGTTAGATTACTCGTTACTGAAAAAAGTAACGGCGTTAGTAACGCCGTTACTAGTAACGCCGTTATTCCCATCACTGGTTACGGGGCCACTCCTACCAAGGATACCCCCACGTAACACAAGCCGTAGGTCATCCGTAGTCACAGGACGCCTCTCCCAAGAGCTCCTGACGTGGACTACCAGACCGACCAAACACACAAAAATGTACCGCACCTGTAGGATGCCTCTCCCAAGAGCTCCTGCACCAGGGCGGAAATAAACCGAAGGCCCCCTCAGGGGAGGGACCCAACGGTCTAACTCAGTCCGCTGCACTCAGCACGGAATGGGCCACCGACCGGTCCGACACATCCGAAAGATAAGACCGGACGAAAGAGGAGGACGACGCCCAAGAAGCCGCACGGCAGACGTCCTCGACCGACGCCCCCCTGAGAAGGGCCGTAGAGGCCGCCATCCCACGTGTGGAATGCGACCTGAAACCCACCGGGGGGGCCAGACCCTGCGATTGATACGCCCGCCGCACAGCCGTGGCGACCCAATGCGCCAGCCGCTGAGCCGACAGCGGGGCGCCCCTGTTCTTGGGGCCCAGACACACAAACAGCTGACCACCCAACCTGAATGACGACGTCATGGCCAGGTAATGCCTCAGCATTCTGACAGGACACAGAAGGTGCTGCCGCTCCTCCTCGGGGGAGGCATGCGGCGGCGGATGGAAAGCCCTAATCCTGATGACTCTCGACCTAAAGGCCGACGTGATGACCTTGGGGAGAAAAGCCGGATTGGGCCACAATTCCACCATGCCGTCGTCCTCTCCAAAGGACAGGCAAGACGCATGGACGGAGAGCGCACACAAATCGTCTGCCCTCTTAGCAGACGCCAACGCCAGCAAGAGGGCCGTCTTAAAGGCGATACACTCGGGACTCGCCTCCGCCGCCGGTTCAAAAGGCGGACCCGACAGCCCCCTAAGGACCACCCTGAGGTCCCAAATCGGGGGCGTTCTCTGGAGCGGGGGCCTCCTCCTGCGCGCCCCCCGCAGAAAACGTTTAACCAACGGATGAGAACGGGCTGTGAACCCCCCGAATCCGTCGTGACGCGAAGTAATGGCTGCCGCGAACACCGCCAAGGTAGCGACAGCCCTCCCCTTGTCGAAGAGCTCCTGTAGGAATCCCAGGACCCCCTCCAGCGGGCAACACCTGGGATCCCAGGAACGGGAATCGCACCAGACACTGAATAGCCTCCACCTCGTGGCGTAGGCCCTCACAGTGGACGGCGCCCTCGCTCCCTGAATGGTCTCCACCACCGCAGGGGGAAGACCCAGGTCTACGAGGCTCCGCCTCTCAGCCTCCAAGCCCAGAGCCTGCGGCCGATTATCGGGCGTGAAAACAGGGCTCCTGCCCCCTAGACTAGAGCCCCCGGCTCGTCCGGGAGGGCCCAGGGCTCCATCACCGCCATGCCCCTCAGGAAGGGGAACCACCGGGCATGCGGACTGTCCGGAGCCACCAGGATCACCGATCTCCTCTCCTGTTCGATCCTCCGCAGCAGGACCGGCAGGAGACGCACCGGTGGGAAAGCGTACAACAGGCCGCCTGGCCATGGGTAATGAGCCAGAGCGTCCACGCCTAAAGGCGGCTCGTCCGCGGCCCTTAAGGCGAACCAGGACGGGCACTGTGCGTTCTCTGCACTGGCGAAAAGGTCGACCGCTGGACGGCCGAACCTTCGCCAGATCTCCGCAGCTACCCGTGGGGCCAGGCCCCACTCGTCCTGGAGTGGGCCCCCCCTGGACATCCTGTCGGCTCCCACGTTCCGGACCCCCGGGACGTGGCGCGCCCTGAGAGACAGGAGGTGAAGCGCCGCCCATAGCAGCGTCACCGTCGCCATGCGATGGAGAGCGGGGGACCTGGTGCCCCCCTGCCTGTTCAGATAGGAGACCACTGTGGTGTTGTCTGAGCGCACCATCACGTGTCTCCCCTGCAGCTGAGGGGCAAAGTGCAGCAGTACTCTGTGCACTGCCTCCATCTCCAGCAGGTTGATGTGACGGGCTGAGTCCGACCAGCAGCCTCCTACAGAGCTCTGGCCGAGGACCCCGCCCCATCCTTCGAGCGACGCGTCCGTGAACACCTCGACGTGAGACACGGCGCAGGCCAGAGTCACTCCGTCCCGCAATAGATCCGGAGTGAGCCAGAACCTGATGTCCGATGCTGCCACTTGGGGAACCCAGATCAGCCTCCCCCCGTCCCGGGAGGGGTGAAGCCTGAGGCGCGAGAACCACCTCTGAAAATTCCTCATGTGGAGAAGGCCTAGCCGCACCACAGCATGAGCCGCCGCCATCATTCCCAGCAGGGACCTGAGGCGTCGAGCGGGGACTCTGGGGCCCCCCAGAACCTCCCGGGCCAGACGGGTAATATTCATCCGTCTGTCCACGGATAATGCCGCACGGAAAGTCACAGAGTCTAACTGCAGACCGAGATAAATCATGCGTTGAGCTGGTTGCAGCTTGCTCTTCTCCCTGTTCACCACAAAGCCCAGACGCTGTATGTGGGACAGGACCCAGTGCGTGTGGCTCACGGCCACTTCCCTGGATGCGGCGAGAATTAACCAGTCGTCTATATAGGTTAAAATTCTTACCCCTGCCCGTCTGAGCGGCTCCAGTGCTGCCTCCACGCACTTGGAGAAGGTCCGAGGCGCGATCGCATAACCGAAGGGAAGACGGCAGTACTCGTAATTCCTCTCTCCCACTGCGAAGCGCAGAAATCTCCTGTGTTCTGGCACTATGGGCACGTGGAAGTACGCATCTGTCAGGTCTATGGATGTCATCCAGTCTCCCTCCCTGACGCACTCGAGGAGCTGCTTTGTGGACAGCATCCGAAACTGCCGTTTGGAAATGCACTCGTTTAACACGCGCAGATCCAGAATGGGACGCACCCCGCCTGACTTCTTTGGCCCTAAGAAGTAAGGGGAGTACAGCCCCCTGGTGGCGTCCTGCGGGTCTACCTCCACTGCTGCGCCTCGACTCAGCAGAGAGGAGACCTCCGCTTGCAGAGCCTCTATCGATCCCCGTACCTGAGAGCGTGCTGCCCGTACGCCTCGGAATGGTGGTGGCTTTCGGAAAAATTGCAGTGCATAACCCTTGCGCAAAGTCTTTTCCAGCCATAGATCTGTCAGCAAACCCTGCTCCCTCCAGATGCTGTAGAAATCTGTGAGGGGCGGAACGGGAGCTTGAACACGAGACGTCACGGCCCCGCCCTCTCCTGGTGTTCC